GATTGGGAGGGGCCCACAAGTGGAGTAGCCGAGGGCCTCTCTTCATTGAAATCCGGCCCTGGAGAGTGCTCAGGGGTGCAGGGAGAGAGTGTGAGTAGCCTTGGGAAAGCGTGTGTGATTTTTTTACAGGTCATTTCCCAGTTTTTAAAGGGTTGTTTTGACTATACACTATTTCAGCTTTACACTCTATCCCTGGAACATAGCTTCAGCATAAGATGAGAGTCATGTATGTATGATAACTGTTGGCCTTCTTAAAAAGCGAAACAGGGCATTAATTTATGGTGCAATCCTATACATATCTGTTCAGAAGTAAGCCCCACTGAGTTCAGTGGGACTTGCTCCCACGTAACTGTGTGTCGGATTACATCGTCAGGTGTATGCACACAGCCTGCCACTTGAATAAACTGTGACCCTTTATTTTGCATAGCCTAGGAGTTGCATACTTGTGTCTTTGCAGTCGGAATGTTCGATAAAGGATTGTCTTGTGCATCTGGAGCAAACTTTCAGAAATTCCTGTTTTCTGGCTGGCTGGTGGGAAAACATAGATTTATACAGCTATGTCTTTTAAAAGAAGTATGTCAGTTTTCAAGAAAGGTGTCTCAAAGTGACCTACAACAACGTTTAAGTCAAAACCCATTGTGGAAAATCAGAATCCAAGGCCAGACAAAATTGTAGCCAAAAGTCAGTTCAAACAAACATATCCTTGGCCTATCAGTGAAAATACAGGAAGGAAGGGGCCAATTATCCTTCTTCTTAGGAGGTGTTTTGCAAGGAGCCACAGGTGCTTCTGTTGTTGTTGTTGTTGTTTAGTCGTGTCCGACTCTTCGTGACCCCATGGACCAGAGCACACCAGGCTTCCTAATGGAGACCAAATTTAGTTTTTGCATAAGAAGGAATCTGAAACAGGAACTTACTTCTAGATCTTGATGTGATTGTTCATACTCCACACATCATTCTTCTTTCTTCCTTAGAGAAAACCCAACCTTCCTTCGCGCTCTCACGTGTACACAGAAGGAAGGAATGACATTGACCCCTGCTGGTTTCTAAAGCTTTTATAGAAACTATTAGATCTCAGAGATCTGTATTCAAATCCATTGTGAATCATTAACTCTACGGGAGACCTGAGTGTTCCTATCTTTCAGCTTCAGTTCCTGATCTGTTAAATGGGGATATTTATTATCTGCTACCTCCTGAAGTTGCGGGGATGGATGAGACTGGCATTGTATAGTGTGCAGCGTGCTCCAAAATGTTGCAGAAATTATATAACCAGTAAAAATACCCTTTTTCTCAAGAAGGCGGTTCTGACACCCTGTTTGTATTCTTCCAGATTTTCAAACCTCCCAGGCCAAGGGAAACTTGAAAGTGGAAAGATTGCCATTACTTAATGATTGCTTTTCTCTTTCAGCAGTGTTGCCTGTTGCCAACTGCAGTGTGTTCTACTGGGTTATTGCAACCCGGAGGATGCTTTCTGTTTAATTATAATAATTGCACTTTTGTTTCCTTTGCCAGCTGGTGATGGAGTTTTGCGGTGCTGGCTCTGTCACTGATCTGATCAAGAACACAAAAGGGAACACTTTGAAGGAGGAGTGGATTGCCTACATCTGCAGGGAGATTTTACGGGTACGTGACCAAAATGGGCTTAACCGCCTTTCAGCCTGTCATTGACAGCAAATGTTGCCTAGGTCCAGTGTGAATGCAATGCTGCTTCCGATCAAGCAGTGGTTTGCAAACCATGAGCCAGGATTGGGAATGCCTGCTGTCTCTCTCTAGCACAAATTACCGCTCTTCCCTTCTCTCTCACAGACTTAACCGTGGTTCAGCGTCACCTCTGTACTGATAATTTCATACTTTGTTTAAGACAGCAGTCTTGGCTAGTGTTAAGCAAGGTTAGTTTCTGTGAGGATGTAACACTAAACCATGGTTCCAGCAAGGAGTGGGAACCTGCCCTGGAAAAGCGAACGAGGAACAGGGAGAGCGCAGAATCTCAAAGCTAGTTCCTAGTTTTTGCAAACCATAGTTTGCATGGAACCAACATTCTGCCTGTGCCAAGTCTCCGCTCTGGTTTTTAATGCTTAGAAAAGAGACATAATCTGGAAGATGGCTCCTGAGGTTTTGTGGATAGTCATAAGAGAAGTTTGTAGGTGCCTGTAGGTATAAATAATTCATAGTCACTTAGATATGATGTATAATGAATGAGTGAGGGTCAGTTGCCTTTCTTTCTCCCTCAACTTTTAAGCCTGTTCTTTCTTTCATAAGAAAAAAAGTCCCCTCTTTAATATTAATAGGAACAAAGATGTGTTTAAATTATATTCAATTTCTTTTTAGAAAAATGGGGGGGGGGGAATGCATTTTTAGGGCATTTCAAATGGCAGTTTATTGTGGAAGTTGTGCTGTTCATATATGTGGGTTTTTCATACCATCTGTGTGACAATGGAGTCATCAAAATTACATTTATAATCCAGATTTCCTCTTACTGCGGGAAATCTGTTAAATAAAAATACTGCATTATACATCCCCAGTCAATCACAGTTGCAATTGGTCATGTGTGGTGATGTTTGGGGTGATTTGCCTTCATCACCACATCTCCAGGTCCATTAACATTATGTGTGAACATAGCCTATGGATTGAAGTGGTCCTCAGACTAGGTCTTGCGGTGGAACCATCTCCAAGGAGCAAACCTGTTTAAAGTCAAATCAAACCAAGGCACATTTCATGTTAAGCAGATAAACACCAGCATGGGGAGAGTTGTGCTATTAAAATAGCAAGTTGAAACTCTTCACTGTAATAATTCCTTCTATAGCTTGGGATATGTGACTCCTTTACCCTTGAAGACAGCAGCTGCCGCCCAAAGGTTACTTAGTCCTTATCCACCTAATCTACATAGTGTTTTCACATTGCAGTTGGATCAATCAGGTAATGCCCCAACTCTGCAAGGACAACATCATGTGAGATCAGCAATAATGAAAACACAGTCACAGATGCTTAGCAGTCTCAAGCTAGCAAAACACTAAAATGCTTCACATGAGTGCATGAGTGATCCGCGTGACTCAAATGTGGATGCTTCTAATATGCTTTTAGCTCCATAGAGGGTTAAGTCAGTAGTACGAAAGAGGAAGCAGTGAAATGTTCACCCTGAAAATGAAAATGGGATCTAAACACTCCCCAAATGGCACTTGGTATCTGGTGGTGACAAAGCACTTGCTCATTGACAGTAAACACCCCCAGCTGCAGTCCTTTAGCAACTTGATAGGAAAGGCAAGTGACGTTGCGGCTAATCAGCTATTGTATTGACTTTTCTCATTTCTGTCTCAGGAAGCCACAGTTGCCCAGGCTAGGGTTTAAATTTACAAGCTTGGAAAGTCAGTTTCCTAAAATAGTCCGCAAGCAGTGAGTCATGTTCTGACTGTTGAACCATTCCACCAGTGCCTCATCTTTTGGATGTCGAAAGATGAGCTAACTCCATCTTTTCAGTCGGCTGATAATGCAGGCATCTGGGGACGTGTGTCACTATAATAATGTGTAAAGTGAATTCTGTTTTGAATCAGCAGCTCCCAGAGTTTGCAAAGCCTCAGTGTGATGCACAGGGAAATTACCTGATCTTATGACTTATTACATAACTATATTCTGCCTCTGAACCAAAGTTTGGGAAGCCCCATGTGGACTTTCTTCCCCCTATACTTCATGTCTCACAGTAACATCCCTCATTCCTTTTTCTGTTCTGATTGTGACTACAGTTAGGTTTGCATCTGCACCAACATATTCGTTAAACGGTAATTAGCACCAAGGAACAATTTAAAGCTATGATCAGAAGTGGGTTTGTTTGCTAATTACATTTAAGTGAAAATGTGATGCAAGGTTATTCTAAGCCATAGCTATCTCCAGAACTGAGAGGGAATGTGGAATGCTCATCGAAAAAGGGGGTAAAGGAGAGAGATGAGCATATAAACCCAAAGGGTGCTTCTTGACATTCTCACTATAACTTGGAAGGTGACCTGGAAACTACAACTAATCCAAAACACGGCAGCTAGATTGGTAACCGGGAGTGGGCTGCCAAGACCATATAACACCGGTACTGAAAGACCTACATTGGCTCCCAGTACATTTCCAAGCACAATTCAACATGTTGGTGCTGACATTCTAAACGGCCTCAGCCCAGTATACCTGAAGGAGCGACTCCACTCCTATCGTTCAGCCCGGCCACTGAGGTCTAGCTCCAAGGGCCTTCTGGCGGTTCCCTCCTTGAGAGAAGTGAGGTTACAGGGAACCGGGCAGAGGGCCTTCTCGATGGTGGTGCCCGCCCTGTGGAACACCCTTCCATCAGATGTCAAGGAAATAAACAACTATCTGACTTTTAGAAGACACCCTGTTTAGTGAAGTTTTAAATTTTTGATGTTTTATCACTTTATTATTATTATTATTATTATTATTATTATTATTATTATTCTGTTGGGAGCTGCCTGGAGTGGCTGGGGAAACCCAGCCGGATGGGCGGGGTATAAATAATAAATTATTATTATAATTGGGTAGTTGAGGCCAAGCCATTGAATCTTAGCTTTGCATGTGTTCCAGACCAAGTGCATGTGTTACTTTTACCATAGGGCCTGGGATTCTGTTGGCAAAAATCCAATAGAATGCACTATGTTATTTCAACCCATGGTGGTCCCGGGTTATGCAGGGGGCTCAGCTAGGCTAGGCCTGCACAGACTGCGACCCCCCAGGCATGTCAGAAAGCCTGTAACAAAACCCGGAAGCTGGGTTTCAAGTTGTGAAGGCCGTCAGAAGATTATGCAGTCAGTGTGAAGGGGTTTCCCCCCTTGTGGATGTGATCCCCGGGCAAAAGGAACAAAGCTGCTCTCAGATAACAGAAAACAGTCACTCTTGTCTTACACAGATTTAGATAACTGAAATCAGCAGGACAGGATCAGGTTTCTGACCGCGCAGGACTCTGAGGATATAAATTACAGTCTGTTCATAAACCAAGAGTGCCACAGAGAGAGAAAGTGGTTGGGTGAGAGATGGATATCTCTCCTTCCTGTTTGTTCATGACCACCAGTGATAGTGCTTCAGGAGACTCCATCTTGAATGGACCATAGAGATGGGTTTTCCTGAGGGGAAATCACAAGTGATTCTGTCTATTATTTATTATTCCTTAAATCTATAATATTTTTGAACCTCCTCTTGGCCCATAAGTATCCAAAATGATGCATGGCAACTAAGGCATGGCATAATGCTCCGCTACAACAATGGATACAAAACCCAAATAGGTAAACAGCAGCAGCACAAACTCTGACCTAAAACAGGGCAGGGCATGATGCAAAAACCGGGTGTTACATTCATCTCATTTACATGATTCAGCATTAAAACAGACAGTCAAATTAAATAACCAAAATAGAAGAGCAGTGGTGAATGCCACTTGCCAAAAGAATTTAAATGATGTCTGGCCAAATACTTTTAGGGAGATGATGTGAGGAGCATCCCTTGGCAAAGAGTTCCACAGTGTGGGTTGGGCCTTCACGAAGAAGGCCCTGTCCCTCATCCTAGCAAATCTCATCTGATTTGAATGATGGTGTGCGGCATCTTTCTTGGATCTGAGGAAACGGGGAGAAATATATGGGAGAATTAAATGCCTCTTGGCCATCTTTACAGATGTATGCATTGCAGTAATTTAAACAGGAGGTTACCAAGGTATGAGTGGCATGGTAAACCTAGACTCTGCTGCCTCCTGGATATCAAACCGAAAGGTGCAGCTCTTTGGTGCAACATGTAATGACCGCTGCTATAAACAAAGTGAACAAATAGACAAATCTTCTTAAAAAGGGAGGTGGTTGTTTTTCCCTTGTGGGTAATATTGTTGTTATGATATAAATTATAATAATATAATATATTATAATATAATAATATAATATAATATATAATAATATAATATAATATGTAATATAAATAAATAAAATAAAATAACAAACAATTAACTGTTTCCCTCCAAAAGAATTACCCTTGGCACCTTACAACGAATTTCACACCTTTCACCCTCTGACACCACAAAACATTAAATGCTGTATTTATTGCCAGCTTCCAGCAGTTTAGGGACCCTGAATTCTCTTTAAGAGACTGGCTCGCTTAATCAATATTGTTGATTAAATTCATTATTTTCACTGCTTTGTGCCTTATCTCCCCACCCAGGACACTTTGTGTTTGCGAGAGTGTATACTCTACCTCTCCTTTGTATATTTATCAGTTCTGGCCTCAATTTAAGCACAAGTGACTTGGATCCTAAGAACCAAGGAAGCTCAAGGAAGCTGACAGAGTTTTCTTCTCGCATCTTCTCCTTGTCACCACCTGTACCCCAAAAAGCCTCTCTCAGAGGTTGCAGAGAGCTTGTGAACAGCGTCCGCTGGGGTGTGGGGACTGCTTGGGGGAGGAGAAATCCCCCAGTGAGGCTTGGATCCTAAGAGAAGTTAATTTGAGTAGAACAAAGTTTTCATCCCCTCCTCACTCCAAATCAGCAGAAGGCTTGTAAAAATAGCGTCGTGCAATCTAGGAATACAGTAAATATTCCCAACCAGCATTCTTCAGAGTTAAGAGGCAGTGCAGTTAAATCTTATATACTAATAAGGAGACTTTTGGGCCTTCTTACCTTGTTCTATTTGTAATTGTCCCAGAAGAAAATGCAGAGCCTTTACGGGCCTCTTCAAAACAAAACTTTAAAAAGAAACGGTTTGCAAAACAGCGAACAGCCCATGCAACATACCTATACCTTAAATCAGATCATACCGTATATGTACAGTGGTACCCCGCAAGACGAATGCCTCGCAAGACGGAAAACCCGCAAGACGAAAGGGTTTTCTGTTTCGGAGGCGCTTCGCAAGACGAATTTCCCTATGGGCTTGCTTCGCAAGACGAAAGCCCATAGGGAAATCTCCGGGGACCTGTTTTAAATTGCTGGCGGTCGGGAGCAAAGACTTTCGCCCACAGCCGGCCTTCAGAAGAGGTCCTGGACCTCTTCTGAAGGCCGGCGGGGGGCAAAAGTCTTTGCTCCCCCCCCCGCCTGCCTTCCCGGGACAGTGGAGACTTCTCCGCTGCCCCGGGCGATCTTAAAATGCTGGCGGGCGGGAGCGAAGCGTTCGCTGCCGACCCCCAGCATTTTAAAATCTCCCCGGGACAGCAGAGAAGTCCCGCCCCGCTCCAGATGGCCGCGCAAAGCTGCCTGCAGTCGCGGGACTGCAGGCAGATCTGCGCCACCATCCCGAGCGGGGCGCTAAGTCCCGCCCCGCTCGGGATGGCGGCGCAGAGCTGTCTGCCGTCCCGGGATCAGCGCAGCTCTGCGCGGCCATCAGGAGCCGGGGGCGAAGCCCGCCCCGCTCCAGATGGCTGCGCAAAGCTGCCTGCAGTCGCAGGATTGCAGGCAGATCTGCGCCACCATCCCGAGCGGGGTGCTAAGTCCCGCCCCGCTCGGGATGGCGGCGCAGAGCTGTCTGCCGTCCCGGGACTGCAGGCAGATCTGTGCCGCCATCCCGAGCGGGGCGCTAAGTCCCGCCCCGCTCTGGATGCCAGCGCAGAGCTGTCTGCCGTCCCGGGACTGCAGGCAGATCTGTGCCGCCATCCCGAGCGGGGCGCTAAGTCCCGCCCCGCTCTGGATGCCAGCGCAGAGCTGTCTGCCGTCCTGGGACTGCAGGCAGATCTGTGCCGCCATCCCGAGCGGGGCGCTAAGTCCCGCCCCGCTCTGGATGGCGGTGCAGATCTGCCTGCCGTCCCGGGATCAGCGAAGCGTTCGCTGCCGACCCCCAGCATTTTAAAATCTCCCCGTGTCCCGGTGAGATTTTAAAATGCTGGGGGTCGAAAGCGAAGCCCTTGTTCCCCCCCAGCCCCCCCCAGCCTTCAGAAGCCCTTGTCCCCCCCCCCCAGCCTTCAGAAGAGGTCGGGGGAGAGACTGTCCCCGGACCTGGTCTGAAGGCGGTTTCCCTTGGAACGCATTAATTGATTTTCAATGCATTCCTATGGGAAACCGTGCATCGCAAGACGAAAAACTCGCAAGAAGAAAAAACTTGCGGAACGAATTAATTTCGTCTTGCGAGGCACCACTGTACTTCATAAGGAGCCGAGACTGAAAAGCTTAGGGCTTATCCACCTTTTCCTACTCACTTTCCAGGCACGGTCAGTGTTTTAAAGCCCTGTGTCCAAGCACACACATTTTTTTTTCTGCTCCAAATCTTTCCCCATGAAAACCCACTCTTTACTGCTGAATCGAAGCAAACTACATTTTGCAGAAAACCCAAACATTTGTTGCATGTTCAAAGGGCGTGTTTGTGTGGCTATATGAGGTCCCAAGTGGGAATAGCAAAGGTCTCGGACTGAAACCTTGCAAAGCTGCTGTAAGCCAGAACAGGCAGAGGTAGACTTGGAGAATCACAGAATCATAGAGTTGGAAGGGACCACAAGGGTTCTCTAGTCCATGGTTAGGCAACCTAAGGCCTGGGGGCCGGATGCGGCCCAATTGCCTTCTAAATCAGGCCTGCGGACGGTCCAGGAATCAGCGTGTTTTTACATGAGTAGAATGTGTGCTTTTATTTAAAATGCATCTCTGGGTTATTTGTGGGGCCTGCCTGGTGTTTTTACATGAGTAGAATGTGTGCTTTTATTTAAAATGCATCTCTGGGTTATTTGTGGGGCATAGGAATTCATTCATTTCTTTTTTTGCAAAATATAGTCCGGCCCCCCACAAGGTCTGAAGGACAGTGGACCGGCCCCCTACTGGAAAAGTTTGCTGACCCCTGGCTTAGACAGACCAGTGTTCTGATTTTTTTATAAGGTGTCCTCGTAGGCTCACATGCTGTTAAAGAGCACAAATTTAACCCTAGAATCCAGAGAATAAATTACAGGGAAACCTCTTAAGTAACAGCACAGCCAGATTTCTGCATCCCTATTTTTCAAAAATGCAGCCCTGGTGAAATACGAATAAAACGACTCATAAATGCTGCAAGTAGACAGTGAAAATATTTTTTCATTTTGAACATATGAATGCTAATGTGAAATCTAAAGTAGATATGTATATAGCCATGAAAGCAAACCATACTTTACTAGAATTGCAATTTAGGTGGATATTATTTTTTAAACCCTCCAACTTGGATGTGTGAAATAAAAATGGAGCCTACGAAAAATGAGAAGAATTAATGACCTAATAAAAAGGTACAAAGGCAAGCTATTTTACTTCTAGCTCTCAAGACAAGCTTTTAATATGAGCTATGATTAGATTAGGGTCGCGTTCAAGCTACGTAGTAATTTGTGTGGCTGTGGCAGGTTTCTCTTCACTTCCCTCAGCGTTTATTTCATCGATACATCATAGAATCTGGAATTGCAGTTTATTGATACTGAAACTAGCAAGAAGAAGCAAGTGTTTGTTGTTAGGGTCACGAATGGCTTCCTTGAAAAGTAGCTAAAATCGATTGCATTTCCCCCCATAGAAACAATGGAAGTTTTAAATGATTTGGTGTGTAGCTAGAAACAATTACCCATCTCCCACCCCCCTTTGCCTCCCTCAAGCAGTGTATCTGGAACCAGTGCTCTTGGGGGGAGGGACGCAGGGGTACGCATGCCCCTAAGCATTTTGTGAATCTAAGTTTGGCCTCATTGAGGGGCAGTATTTCAATATGAGTAGGAAAATGAGAGTACCCCTGAACATTTTTTAAGGGAAAAAGCACTGTCTGGAACCAATGGTATGTCATGATGCAACATTATTCCAGCTGATGCACTCTGGGAAAATAGGGTGGTCTGACTGATAGCTGACTGAAGCTGCTCTCAGCCAATTCAAGGGAGCTTAAAAATCTCGAGAGAGAGGGAGAGAGAGAGAGAGAGAGAGAGAGAGAGAGAGAGAGAGAAGGTTAGGTAAAGCACCTGTAGACATGAAAAGTAACAAATAACTAAATGAAATTTTGGGGGACCACTTCGACTCCATCCCCTAATGTGATATTTCCCCACCCCCTTGTAATGTAGGGTTGCGTTTGACCCCAGCTGTCGATGGAGGCCTAAAAGAAAGTTGAAATGTAATGATGACTTTCTCTTTTTTTGACTCCTCTAGGGTTTAAGCCATCTCCACCAACATAAAGTAATCCATCGAGATATTAAAGGACAAAACGTTTTGCTGACAGAAAACGCAGAAGTTAAACTAGGTAAGAATTCCCACCCCTCCCAACCAGTGGGAAATTGCAGGGAAGCGTGGAATCAGGCTTTTCTGAAAAGACTTAGCTGGTCCTCACCTTAGCAGGACTCGGTTGTTAATACCAAAGTCAAGAGCTCCTCTAAGAAGTAGAGCTAAGCACTGGCCTGGAAGGAATTTGAAAAGAAGGTCCAGGAATCTGCATGCCATGATCGCATTTTGGAATGCAGAACCATGTGGAACCATAAGCAGGCGATGAGAGCTAAAAACTGTGACTCCCCTTATTATAAGTTTCTTAACGGTCACAGAGTAAACCCTGGAAAAAAATAATTGGCAGCTTCTGCTAAGAATTTGTAAAATGAAGAGATTCTGGCTAGGAATATCAGTGGTCAAGGTTTAGCTTTTTCCTTTTTTTTAAACCCCACTCAAGATGGCTATTAATCCCTCGCAGCTGTCCCTGCCTCTCTTAGAAACACTTTCCTACTCTCCAGCCCTGCAAATCATTTCCATGCAAATCAACTGTCCTTCTTTCAAGTCCCCGAGGAACTATGTGGACTTGGGCAGGGGATCAGCATGTAAACAACTCTGGCTACAAAGATCCGCTTGTTTAACAAGCTCGAGACCTCGGTTTCAGCTGGTCCTTGAGGGGATGTGGCCAGGGAGAAGCAGGAGTGGGAAATAATTGGGAGAGGCTAGCGGCATTCCTTTTCCCGGTCTAGTCCAACTCACTTGTGCTGTACAGCTGAAAGAGCTCACCATGAAAATCACTTAAAAGTAAAGTGGCACTGTTTAGATATTTAGCTAAAAGGTGATTAGTGCATGTAGGCTGCTGGTCTAGGAACACTGGAACACTCAGAGCAGCACTGGGGACTAAGCAGTGTCTGAGTGGACATTTTTCCTAATTGTGTTGGGCCAAGAAGAACTCCAAGCTTTAGCTGTAGATACGAGCTCTTCTGAAGAGAGATGTGGAGCCCTTATGAGCCCACAACAAAGGTAGCACCTTGTTCTCAGAAATCTCAGCTTGAAATGAACTCTCAAGCAAGTGGCCCGCAATGACTTGAGTCCAAAACCCACCGAATACAGGGGAGAACATTCTGTGGGTTGAACTTTCCTTGGGCTCCAGTCCTTTTAAAAGGAAGGGAATGCTCTGATCTTCAAAATGAATGGCACTCCCCATGAACTTTGCCTAGTTCATGGCGGGGGGCACCATCCTCTTGTCATTTAACATGACTTGTATGTCCTTTCATTGCCTCGCATAAATCAGTCATGTTTATGCCTCATTAAAGCTCTCCTGTTGTTGTTGCTTTGATTCCCAGTGGATTTCGGAGTCAGTGCTCAGCTTGACAGAACAGTTGGCAGAAGAAATACATTCATCGGAACTCCATACTGGATGGCCCCCGAGGTTATAGCCTGTGACGAAAACCCTGATGCCACTTACGACTTCAAGGTATCTTAAAAGATGATGTTGCCTAATATATCCTTGGTTGCTAATGCTGAATCGTAGTAGTTTTGCGCAGGGGAAGAGGAAGTGCCAGTCCTGCAGGATTGAGACTGGAGTTGAATGATGCTCTGAGGAAGTTCCACAGGTGGACCAGCATAGAAGCTATTATAGGGAAGACTATATGAAGGGAAGTTAAAACCAGAATGAAGGCAGGAAAGCTGTTAAGGAAGCTGGCAGACTGGAAAGCAGAGAAGATAGGCAAGAGAGCAGACCTAGGTGACAGGCAGGTACCTGGAGCAAGATGACAGAGCTGTGTAAGCAAGGCTAGAACCTGGTTGTTGATCCAAGCAAAGCCCTAGGCTTAACCCAGAAGCATTTATAAAAAGTCTAGGTCTAACACATGACCTACCTGGGTGGGATGCAGCATGCTTGGACTCAAAAGGACTATGCTGCCCATTCTTGCTCCTGCATCCATGGCTCGCCCCGAAGGGCATCACTGCACAAGCCAAGGAATCCTGGTTTGAATCTCACCCAGCCAATCCTGAGAAAACGTCCCTAACGAAAACACAGTGTGCAAGTTAAATTAACGGTCAGTTCAGAGAAGTGGAACATTTCAGGGCCAAACTACGTGTGGCATTATCCATGCATTTAAACAATATTGTATGTATTTAATTTGAAGATCTACACCCCTCTTTTCGATCAAATGATTCTCAAGGTAGGTTTCAAGTGGCAGACATGAAACCCTAAAACTAATGTGTGTGCACACACAGCCCTTAGTCTCTTGGCTCGTGAAGGAAGCCTGGCTGCTTTTATTTTGGGGGTGGGAGGTGGGGGGGGGGGAGAAAAGCAGATCTTAAATGTCACCATCTACTTTACAGGCTTGTTGTGAGAATAAAAAAGGAGGGGCAACCATGCATGCCCCCCCCAAGCTGTTTGGAGGAAAGGTAATGTTAGGATGCACAGTAATTTAATCAGCAGCTAAAATGCATTGAAAATATGCAGGTGCACTGAATGCTGATTTCCATGGTTTTGCTGTTTTGAAGAGGGCCAAAGGCCGCCCACTTTTCCTAAGCAGCTGGCTTCTAAAATCTCTGGTTGAAATCACCCTCTCATAAACTTGTTCACTTGCAGGCAGACAGCAGAGGCAGCTTTCTGAGTGAGTGAAGCCTGTCAAAAGCTTGTCAGTGCAGGCAGACTGCTTTGCCAGCGCCAGATTGATTCCTTGTTAAATTTTCTATTCTGAAAAAAATCTGGAGAGATGAGCAGTCCATAAGGCAGTCAGTCACTGGAAAGTGAACTTGATATTCATTAGGGATTTGTCATTGTCATTAAAATTCTGGATTTCAGGCATCGTGCCAGATCCTTCTGGACCCGAGCCAGCAGTGCAGGGCTAGACACCTTTTCCCAGGTCCTTTTAAAAATAATTATTACTTCCAGAATAGGGTGTGAGCACAGTGTTTAAAGAAGAAGAAGGGGAGGGGCAGGAGATGCAGGCCTTGCCTTTAGGCTTACGATCTATGTAAGTAGCTAGATAAACAAGGGAAGAGGAATGGAGGAAAGTCACCAGCCAGAAGTTCTGTTTCAGAATACCAGGCTGAGCTGAGGTTTTTTATCAGACATTTAAAAAAGACCAACAGAAGGAGCCAGATGGGTACCAGAAGGCAGAGCTTCAATGATAGGGAGAAGCAAGGGAGAAAGGTTATACACAGATAGCCAATGGACAGTGTGAATTTTAGGCTCATGGAAAGCAACATGCTTTCAGCATGAAGGCTCATGCTGAAACAGAGGAAGAGAGCAAAAGAAGAAGCGTGAGTTTAATAATTTCCTCTTTTCTCAAGCACAGCAGTGTACTTTTGTCTGCTTTGCCAGTGTTTGAGAAGGAGGGAACTGGAAGCACTTGACATCACCAAGAGCTTCAACATCCCATCCTAGAATCAGTAGAGTTGACTGTGTTTACAGGTTTTCTGGTCACTTTGCCACTTAACCAGTGGGATGAAGAGCCCTGTTCCAATTTCTTGACACTGTTGCTCCCAGGTAAGGACAGTAGAAATTTGTTTCAGTTCACATTTAAAGGCGAACCCACATAATTTGCACTTCCTGAAACAATACTTTGACTGCAGCACAGCCGTCCTTTTACATTTACACTTCTCTGAATTTTGCAGTGTAGTTTTCCAGCCAATGAACATGCACAAAAATGCATGTACTTGGTTAAAGTGTTCATAAAAATGCATATATAAGTGGAAAATAACATACAATAAAAGGCATTACATTAAGGGAAAGCACTTTGCAAAAAATGAGTACTGGTATTTTATGCAAAATTGCATACAGATGTGTATATTATGAAAGACATGCACAAGAATACTGATGGATATTTAGGAGGACTTTTCTAAAAAAAATTGCAAGCTGGCATGGTAATGTGCAGAACTGAACTTCGGACTGGAAAAATGAGAAACGGAGACACCCTGAAACTGATAGATTCACCCATCCCTCCTTCTAGGTGCCCTCTCGCCAAGCAGTTGAACAAGTTTCCCAAGAGATAAGCTGCAAGAAAAATGACTTGCATGCAGATAGAGAGAAACTCAGGCTGAATATGATCAAGCACAGCTTGGAGAAGCTCATTTTAGAGCTCATCTTGGCTGGAGCAGGGTTGACATTAAACTCCTGTCCCTTTTGCCTTATATTAACATATCTAGCCCAGCTAATTTGATTAACAAGCTGCCATAAATGCACCAGTGGATCAAAGCAGGAAGTGGTGATGCCTGCCTGGTTGAAAGACGAAGTGTTCTGACCCTTGCTTGAAACAAAGCACTTCCTTGGATCCAGAAGAGCGTAACAGTTATAGGACTGTTCAGCTTTGCCAGTTTGGGGAATAATAGTTGAGGCAGTCGCCACCCGGCTCCATGGGCATGTCATCGGAAGGTGCTCATGATTCCCATAATTATCATTTTCATATTGGCAAAATAAACCATAGTATGGGAATTGTGGGGAGACTTACTTTATTGGGTATCAATTGTGGGTCTTCACTTGATGCCAGCCAAAGTTCTATTAAGTCTGTGGCTGGATTTGAGAAACCTATCATTTCTTTCTTGGTGGAAATATGGCACTTGATATATGTTGGAATTTGTTAACACAGGATGAGGTCAGTATGGTCCTTTTGTCCCTAACGTTCAAATAAGCTTCATATACATAGATGTTTAATTTTAGGTAGTTTTCATAATTTGTTGTCATAGGATACACTTGAGATATAACTTATTGGGCATAATAGTCCAACTGAAAAACATATTCATGTATGCGACAACGGCCGCGAGAGTTATGGTAGCACAAGGATGGAAGACTGAAGAAATCCCAACTAAAGAATCATGGCAAGAAAAATTGATGGATTATGCAGAACTGGCAAAATTGACACATAAGCTATGGGACAAGGATAACTGTGACTTTAAGGATGAATGGGAACCTTTCACAAAGTATTTGAAGACGCAACAAAGTGAACTGGACTCCTTGGCAGGTTTTGAATAAACATCCACAATTTTTTACTGATAATAATTAGCTAAACAGTTGGAGGATCTATACAACTCTGAGAAACCAAAGACTGGAACTGAGGGAAGTCGGGGGGTGGGGTGGGGGATGGGTTTTGTGGGGGGTGGGGGGAGGAAAAATGGGGGGGGGAGGATAAGGATATGTTTTTGGAAAATATGTTTTGTTATAACTTTGAATAATAAAAAAATAGTCCAATACGATTAATGCAACTGCTTCATATTAATGCAACTGCCATCCTTCTTTTTCAAACAAAGTAAATTGTCATCAAAAAAGGCATACGGATTGGATCCTGTCATACTTTGGCTTAAGATAATAAACACAAAACCTCTGATGACTGGCTACAAAGAGGAAATTCCAAAGTCTACACATACTGGACAGAAATGCCTCTGGTTTCTTTAGCCAAACAGAGCTGGCTTCATAATCTGCTGAATAATACGGTTAATACCACGCGAAAACACTCCATGTGATGGAGGAGATATACAAAAGCCGCTTTGTAATAGTTTTGTTTTTCTCTTCTGTCTGCCATTACTTACTTATCTTTTCAGAAAGCTTCTAAATTTATTCAGAAGCAAAAGAAGATAGCAGTTCATTTCTTCTTGGCAGGGAAAAAAGAGAATGCAGATGTGTTAACCCTATTTTTAAGAGAAAACTTCTGCCTCGTTTTATTTAAACCTTAATTACCATGTAATCCTAACTGTTAAAAGCCAACTGGAAACCTAATTGTTTCTTGTGTTGTTTTGTCAAATGCGGGACGTGATTATTGATCCGCGTTGTGTGACTTAGGAACATAGGGAAGTGTCAGGCTGTTGGGCCATTTGGCTTGGTATTGTCTACACTGACTGGCAGCAGAGTTCTCCACAGTTTCAGACAGAGGATATTCCCTGCCTTACCTGGAGATGCTACAGATTGAGCAGGTGACATTCTCCATGCAAAGCAGGTGCTCTACCACTGAGTTCCAGCCATTCCCTGCTTTTAGGGTGACTACCAGACCTGTAGTCAAAAACCTAGACAGCATCTTAAAAAGTAGAGACATCACTTTACCAACAAAGGTCTGTATAGTAAAAGCTATGGTTTTCCCAGTAGTGATGTATGGAAGTGAGAGCTGGACCATAAAGAAGGCTGATCGCCGAAGAATTGATGCTTTTGAATTATGGTGCTGGAGGAGACTCTTGAGAGTCCCATGGACTGCCAAGAAGATCAAACTGATCCATTCTGAAGGAAATCAACCCTGAGTGCTCACTGGAAGGACAGATCGTGAAGCTGAGGCTCCAATACTTTGGCCACCTCATGAGAAGAGAAGACTCCCTGGAAAAGACCCTGATGTTGGGAAAGATGGAGGGCACAAGAAGAAGGGGACGACAGAGGACGAGATGGTTGGATAGTGTTCTCGAAGCTACCAGCATGAGTTTGACCAAACTGCAGGAGGCAGTGGAAGACAGGAGTGCCTGGCGTGCTCTGGTCCATGGGGTCACGAAGAGTCGGACACAACTAAACGACTAAATAACAACAACAACCACCAAACCTGTTCCATGGATTGCAAAGGTCAATGGAAACGATTTGGTGTCTACCATCCCATTTCAGGATTTATGATTGGCACCTGGTGGAATTTTGTCAACATCTAGTAAAAAGTAGATTCTGTAGGACATATCCTACTAAGGAGTCCCATCCGTGCAAGGATTTCCACTTGTGCAGTGGGACTTTCCCCCCACATATGCCCTGTACCCTCCCGAATTAGGCTCTGGGAATTGGAGGAACCCTTAGAACAGATGTGGGGGAAGGAGAGATGTTCTGTTGCACAATCAGAAATCCTTGCACTGATGGAAACATTATTGTAATTCTGCATTTGATTTTATCCGATATGCATGTCTCCTGCGACACAGGCAAAACGAATTTACAGCTGGCAAACAAACATCTGGTCTGAGGGACATTTTACTGTATTACCTCTGTGTAAACGTAGTGCTAACAAGGTTCGGGAAGGAGATTCATTGGTGTAAAAAGGCCAGCAAAGGCGTGTGGGAGAAGTGAAATAATTTTAAAGGGGAATAGATGAAAGGAAAAGGAAAAGTATATCTGACCACAGTTGGAAGTACTTAAAAAAATACATTTTTACACTTTCAGCTGAGACTTTTCTTCAGCTGATTATCTAGAAATGTTGGACTATCTTCCATTCTTTTAAATGCCTACACTTCGGGCTTATTTATCTAAATAAGAGTTCTGCCCTCTCATTTTGTAGTCTAGCAAACTGCCTAGCTTATGGCAATTCTTTAAATACTAAGAAATTCCAATTCTTGATATTTCGTTTTTTGCACCACACCATCCTTGACTGCAGTTATCTTAAAAACGTCAGTCGTTTAATTTCTCATCGAAAAATGACTTGGGGTGGATGTGTAATGCCCTAGCATTGGCAGTGAACTGCTTGCAATTGACAGGAGCATTCCAAGGCAGTTAAAGTCTGTTAAGAGCAGTTAGAAAAGCCAGTTACAAAAGAGAGCGTTCGCTGTCAATCCCTGGCATCTCTAGGTAGGGCTGGGAAAGACCCCTGCGAAATCCTGGTGAGCCGCTGCCAATCAATGTCAACAACACCGAGCTAATGGCCCAATGGTCTGGCACCATAAAGGAGCTTCCTATGTTCCTATGACAGATTAGCCAGAAAAGGAATAAAGAGAAAAGAACTACACCGAAAGGGATATTTTTTCGGTTGCTTATAGTCTCGATACATTTAGCATTAGTTTTTAATTCTCATTTTCTTAGAGATTATGTTAACCAGTTCAGAAGTAATAATCCAGGGATCTGCAACTTTTTGGGGGTGTTATGTACTGAGTTGAATAAGATCCAAAATGCAGCAGTCTGATTGATCCTAGAACAATAGGATCCAGAATGCAGCAGTCTGATTGGTCCACAGGAGCCACCCAATCCAGCTCTAGGTGGAAGTGAATCCGCAACCTGATTGGCCTACAGGAGGATCCCGGAATTAGCCAATCATGTGGGGCCCATTATGTAAATAATGTATATAAAGCAGACATTCTGGGGGAACTTCCATTCCTCCTCACCACTATAAGCTGAATAAAGAGCATGAAATCCACTCTTGACTCCAAGTATATTTCAGGGGGCCAGCGGACACATACAGAATTTTGAGGGAGTGATGCGGTTTTGCCGTCACAAAATGGCCGCTCTGAGGGCCACGGTGTAACACAAGATGGCTGCCACGTCCAGAAGAGCAGAAAAAGAGACAGAACCACGAAAAAGGTGTAGGCAGTCATCCACCCCCCCAAAAAAAATCAGTAGGAAAAAAGCCACTTAACATCATTCACCCCATTACTCACAGAGAGAAGCTCTCATCATCTCTCCTCTGTTCAGAACATAAAGGAGGTTGGGTGTCCATTCCTGGCATCCATTGAAATATGGGCACGTCTGAGGGGGCATGTCCAATGTAGGATAAGCCAAACTAGTCAGGAACTGAGCAGGAAGCACAAACCGTCTTTAGTGCATTGTGGATTTTTGAGGAGACATATACTGAGATATTTTGTGAGCACCATAGGCGGTTCTGGCGGGTGCCACATTGGTAACCTTTCTGCCATGATTTGTTAGAATGCGTCCCACACATTTCCTCTTTCAACAATTCTGGGCTTTCTTAAACCAAACTTTCCATTTACAGTGGTACCTCGGGTTATATACGTTTCAGGTTACATACGCTTCAGGTTACAGACTCCGCTAACCCAGAAATATTACCTCAGGTTAAGAACTTTGCTTCAGGATGAGAACAGAAATCATTCTCCGGCGGCGCGGCAGCAGCAGGAGGCCCCATTAGCTAAAGTGGTGCTTCAGGTTAAGAACAGTTTCAGGTTAAGAACAGACCTCCAGAACGAATTAAGTTCTTAACCCGAGGTACCACTGAACATCCAGACGGTGAAACTATTATGAAGCCAGGAGGATTCGTATCCCGGTTTATAGTTCAAGATTTAAAGCATAGTTTCCTGGTTGGGATTAATGGGACAGTGTGGTTTAAGAAGCCCTGGAAATATTAAATTATGGTGCAAGAGAGAGGGGAGGAAGGAGCAGAGGAGTTGGGGTGTAGCCCCAGGCTTTATTAGACCAAGAACATTATGTCTGGACTGGCCCCAACATCTGTTTAGTGGCCAGTTCTTCAATAATTGCTTACAGATTCCTCGACATCAATTTTCTCTGCCTTTCTGTATATCTGAAGTACATAAAATATGCATCTGAATGTGTGTCTGTGTGTGTTTCACATGCCCTGCTTTGGGATAGTTATTATTTTTAAAAAGTGGAATATACTTTTTTGAAATAAAATAGAACACCAGATTCATTAGCCTTTCTCATGGGGCAGGTGCTCCAATCCATAAATAATTTTGGCTGCTTTTTTTTGAACCCTTTCCTGCTAGTAATTGCCTCTTGCCTTTGCAGGAAGATTAACTGACAGCCTGTTTGGGTTTTTACATTTCAAAGACTTATTCCTTTGTTATTGAAAGAGGATCACATTGGATTACATAGCTTCATAGCAATTGTGACCCCCCCCCCTTCCCAGTCTGTGGGGCCCTCCCCATAACTCTGCAGCTCTAACAGTGGGAAGAACATAAAAATTGGTGTCTGAAAGGCCTAAATCTTCTAAGCTTAGGAGATCAGGTACTTAATTTAGACAATGCAGATCAAACTTTGAGCATTAAGTTAGCCAAGAACTTGTTCTGGCCTAGCAGTAGCTCCATCAGACAATTTCCAATTTGCTACAGGTTCAGCTAAAATGTGCATTTCTTAAAGGGTGTTTTTGTGATTGTTTCTTTCAGAGCGATTTGTGGTCTTTGGGGATAACAGCCATCGAGATGGCAGAAGGAGCTCCTCGTGAGTACAACCCAATTTCACACTTTATCATAACTTGGATTGCTGCTTGTTAAGGTTCATTATGCGCTATCAGCATGTCCAGTCCTGCGGTGATAAATTGTATATAGGCGATCACCAAGTAGAGTGTTGAAATGAGATAGATATGGGATTCATAGGACTGGATTCTATATTTATCTAAGACAGGGATTGGAATCAGTGCTGCTGGCCACCATAGTGGGAAGGAAGCTTAGCCTACAACACAAAGGTGTCTCGTAACTTGATTCTAGATTCAGGTAGGTAGCTGTGTTGGTCTGACACAGTCAAAATAAAAAATTAAAAAATTGTCCAGTAGCACCTTATAGACCAACTAAGTTTGTTCTGGTATAAGCTTTCGTCTGCAAGAAGTGTGCATGCACACAAAAGCTTATACCAGAACAAAAGTCTATAAGGTGCTACTGGACAATATTTTATTTTATATTTTTTTATTTCATAACTTGATGTTAAGTAAGCAAATTGCTGCTGCCATCCACTGTCGGGTTTACATTTCCAGTGTAGGTACTTCTGTCTTCTCTAAGAAGTACCCCATGGGAATACAGTAGATAGGATTTCCCACGGGTAAGATGTCTGACCCGTCAAAAAATGGTCAGTTGTCCAGGTCAGATAATAAGGTCAAGTAGATATAGCTCAGTTGGTTAGTGTGTTGTGCTGATAATGCCAAGGTTGCAGGTTCGATCCCCGTATGGGACAGTTACATATCCCTGCATTGCAGGGACCTTCAGGGACCCTTCCAACTCTATGATTCTAAGTATTTTTCAAAGTATTCACTTTATTTATTTATTTAATATGGCTTTAAATTTGTTTAAAATGCTTTTTTGTTTTTAGATGTTTCTAACCTATTTTAGGGACACAGGTAGCGCTGTGGGTTAAACCACAGAGCCTAGGACTTGCCGATCAGAAGGTCGGAGGTTCGAATCCCCGCGACGGGGTGAACTCCTGTTGCTCGGTCCCTGCTCCTGCCAACCTAGCAGTTCGAAAGCACATCAAAGTGCAAGTAGATAAACAGGTACCGCTCCAGCGGGAAGGTAAACAGTGTTTCCGTGCGTTGCTCTGGTTTGCCAGAAGCGGCTTATTCATGCTGGCCACATGACCCGGAAGCTGTACGCCGGCTCCCTCGGCCTGAAAGCGAGATGAGCGCCGCAACCCCAGAGTCTGTCACGACTGGACTTAATGGTCAGGGGTCCCTTTACCTTTAACCTATTTTAAATGTTTTATTTTATTTAATCACAGAACTGTTTGCCATCCTGAGCTCCTTTGGGAGAAAGGCAGGCATATATATATAATATCACAAGAAATAAAAGCCCGAGATGCCTTCACACTTAAGCTTGGTTCCAAGAAATGAAATGCCTGGTGGGAAAAGAAAAAACAGAGGGGTGGGATTGTCCGATTGCAAGTTCTCAGCAAAGTACACCGGGTTCTGTGGGAGAAAATAAAATTCATTCTGGAACATGGCTGAAAGAGAAACTGTGCTGTAAGGGTAAGCCTGCAGCTCTTAGCAGGAGTCACTCATAGCACTGTGTTCTCACTGGGAGAGCAGAGCAGGCGTTAAAGCCCATTGACAAACTCAACAGGTTCAGCTTCCTGTGCCTCATGTGGTTGTAGAGAGAACACCAAAAGGATTTCAATAAAGCACTGAATGTCTTTGGTAGAATGTTCTATGTACTGTATTCCATTATGTTTTGTACTGTACCTGATGCCTTCTATTTTGGGGTTTTTTCCCCAGCCCTTTGTGACATGCATCCCATGAGAGCTTTATTCCTCATTCCTCGGAACCCAGCCCCCAGGTTGAAATCAAAGAAATGGTGAGTGTACCCGCCTACCGCTCTCCACATACGAGCTTGATTTGCATGCTGTAAGGGACCATTGTATTTTATTTATGTTCCAGGCACTGCAAAAACAAGACAAAATCCACCTCTGCAAGAAATGAGGTGTGATTTGGTCCTTATTAAAAACGGATGGTAAAATGTGTGTGCAGAAATTGGACAACTTCAGTGGGGATGACAGGTTTTTCAAATTGTAATCATTTGCTCATCAAAGGTATGGGCTGAATTCTATATGTTAGGGGTGGGAAATCTATAGCCCATCAGCACCAGCCAACGGGTCAGGGATTATGGGATTTGTAGTCTACAAATGACTACAAATCCCATCATCCTTGCCCATTGGCCGGTGCTGATGGGTGTTGGAGGGCATCTGGAAAGGTCAAAGGTTCCCTGTCCCTGAGCTAGGTCAGTACTTTTCAGAAGAAAAAAGACTGGGGAAAATGAAATCCTAAGGGTACAGAACAACAAAGACTGTATTAATCCAACAAGTTTCACATCAGATTCCATCTTCAAGGACACTACAGATAACAGCAATGAAGATTTAGATAGTGTAATGCTATTGAAACAATTTATACAATATAATAAAGGCAAAACTAACAGCATTAGAACATCAGCAGAAAGGGAAAAGGTCATCACATTATCTTCAAAAACATTTGGAATCCTTGTGCATATATTAAAATGTTTAGGGAAGCTTTTAATGTTTGATGTATTACAGTATTTTAATATTTTTTTGGAAGCTTCTCAGAGTGGCTGGGGAAGCCCAGCCAGATGGGCGGAGTATAAATAATAAATTATTATTATTATACAAATACTCCTCAGAAAGAACTAAACAAAAAACTTTAGTAAGACCAAAGAGACCTCCTTTTCCTTCCTCCCCCCCCCCACCTTGATCCCGGTCTTGATCCCACCCCACTCCAACTGCTATTTTAGTAGACAAAAGCAAAGTACTCATGGCCAATCATATGCTCAGTGTCATGTCTATTTTGGCTCTGAGAGAGCTCTGGGATGGAAGAACAATGGGAACCGTGTGATTAAGTGTTGGGTGGTGAGCCTCCCCTTCTACATCAGTGAAAGCAGAGCATGCTAAGGATCCTGCCATCTGTCAGCCTTCTGGTTTTTAGCAAGGCTTACATTCACAGAGGAAAGCAGCGTTTAAAATCTGTTTGTTCCGAGTCCGAGAGATCAGCAGTTCCCTTCTGGACTCTGTGCTTCCAGAGTCCAAGGAGAAGTGGTCTTAAGTGGGTCAGCTGCCTATAGCATCTGAGGGTGTCTGACTCTAAAGCACTGTAGATGGAGATCTCTTGTTAAATATGGAGAAAAATGGTATGTTGGCTGCAAAATCCCTTGGGGGCTGAAGATGAAGAAGTTAAGCCAGTGAAATCCACTGATAAGTAGCGGAGGATTTGGAGCCTCACCTGCTGCTGCAAACAGGGGGTGGGAGCAGAGGGAACGCCAAGGAGAAAAACGCTCCGCTCAGTTCTTGTCTTTGCATCTCTGCACCTGCTTTCAAATGGCTTTCATTTGCTTAAAAGCAGCCGATTGTTTTATAACTCGCAGTCAGCCTATAATCAAGGCGAAACAGTGATTTCGTTTCATTAAGTGCTAGCATTTCCTCAGTGTGCTGTGGAACAATTTTTATTCCTTTATTCTCGCCGTAGTTGTTTTCTTGTGAATCAGTTCTTAGTAAGCCTGCGTGCTATTAGGGGTGGCTTTCGTTCAAGGATCTCGTAAGGCTTTGCAAGCATTTTACCCCTTG